GTTGAAAAAAAAAAAAAAATTTTTTTTTTTCCTTTTTTTTTATAAAGGTTGCGCAAGGGAAAATTTTTTTTTTTTTTTTTTTTTTTTTTTGGTGGATATTCAAGTCAAGAAATTCGAGATCGTTAACTATGATATTACAGTAAAACGTCGTTTAAAGCATCCACACAATGTTTCCATGCCGAATGTTAAAATAGTAAATCTCCATTGACTTGCTATTATTTCCATATTATTAGATAAAATTATTCGTATTTTTGTTTGAACCGGTCCTATATTTAAATATTTTTTTAAGTGCAACCTTAAAAGGCGGTTACAAATGCCAATGGTCATTGCAAATGGTCAATACAAATGGTCAATACAAATGGTCATTTGTTGTTGTTGTTGTTGACCATACAACATTTACCAGTTATCTTCAGGTTCTTTTTTCTCTCCTTTTCCTTAATCAATGTCCATATTGATTTTATGCAAAACGAAAAAAGAAACAACAGAAATTTCTGTCAACTTTTGTTTTTTACTTTGTCTATAAAATGCTAATCATCATGATCATGATCATCACACACACAGACAAAACCTGAACAAGATTGCGAATGAAATTCATTCATTCATTTCATTCATTTCATTTTTGTTCATTCAAATGATATTCATCTGAATTGATTTCTGATTAATCAGAAGAAACAAAAAATCAGAAAAACTTTTTCTTTTTCTTTTTTCTCATTCAATTTATCGTTGAGAAGAAATTTTTTTCTTTCTCTGTGTATGATTAAGATAGCAAAATAATGTGTGTGTATGCGTTTTTTTTCGTTCAACATTTGTTCAATCTTATCGATTTTTTTCAATGTTTTTTTTTTGTTTTGTTTAGTTTAGTTTGGTGCATATCCACCAGAAAACAAAAACGAAAACGAAAAATCAAAAACCAATATTGCTACCGTGTGTATATATGTATGTCATATTTAATCATTTTGAACATTTCCAAAACTTGTGTACTTGTGCAACAAAACAAAAACCGAAAAGTTTATTTCAATGAATTTAATTTGAATTTGAAAATTTCAAATTAATCAACTATGAACGAATAGTGAATGGAAAATTTTCCGCTTGTTTGTTTGTTTTTTGCTTTTCTCATTCTACATTTGAACATCTACAACGAAATTTGATAAAAAGAAAAGCATCAGTAGTTTTCTTGTTTTCTGTGATTTGTCCTTGCAATACCCCAAATGTTGTGTGACATCAACATTTTGTTTTGTTTTTTTTTGGTTTAATTCATCAATCAATAAACAACATAAATGAATAAATCAAAACAACGGTCAATGAAAATAGATGATAATATTATTTGTATCGATACGAACAAAACAAAATCAAATCAATCATTTTTTATAAATAATGATGTTGATGATGACGACAAATCAATAATCGATATCAATATCGATATTGATAAGGATGATGATCTTGATGAAATCAATGCAAAATCAATAACAAATTATTACGGTAATAATATTGTTGACAAACAAAATGATCATCATCATCATCATCAAGATGAATTTAATGGAAAAAATATAAAAATAACTTCGTTTATGGATGCTGAACATGATTGCAATGATGATGTTGTTGATGATGATAATGAACAAATAAACAAACATCAACATCAACAACAACAACAACAACAATCAATGGACAAGATAAAAAAATACAAAAATGATAGCGACATTGATAATCGACTACAGCAACAACAGCAACTATCCACAACATTGGATTTAATTTTTGATTCAAAAATAAAGACAATGACCGATGTTGTTGATCGAAATTCTGATGAACATAAAAAACAAATGAAACGAAAAATTTCATCAACAACAACAACGACGAATTCAAATGAAAAATTTAATAATTTGAAAATTGATAACAATGAAATACTAATGAATATCAACAACAAAAAAAATATTGATAATAAAAAAAACATTCACCATGATGATGATGATGATAATGATATAAATATTTCCATACCAATGATAAATGAACATCTTTGTTGTTTTCATAATGATAATAATGATGATGATGATTTGATTGTTTCCAATCATATCAATAATAAAAATGATATGACATTAATCTTAAATGATTATGAATGTAATAATAAGAAGAAAAAGAAGAAAAATTTCAACATAAAATCAAATGGTACAATATTTTCTGGTCATGTTAATGATAATAATGATGATATTGATGTTAGTGATTCAATCATATCATCATCATCATTATTATTTACATCGTTACCATTTAATGATCAATATTTAATGAATCAAATGGAAAAAATGTCACCAAAAGTAAATCCTATTATTACTACTGTTCAAGATGATGATGATTCTCATCATCATCATCATCATCATCATGATAATAATGATGATGATGGTTCGATGACTTTGACCACTACAACCAAACATATTGATGTGATGAAAAATCAAACACAAACACCATCACCATCAACAATAACAATAAACACATCGTCATCATCAACATTACAGCCAGATTTGTTTAATGAAAAACAAAAAATCAATAGTCCGATGTTGATGAAATCCAACAATGTTGAATTAACTTCCTTGATTGATGATCATCAGAAACAACAACAACAACAATCAATGAATCAAAAACCAATGGCAATGAGTTCCAGTCGGATCAATAGTGTTGATATTGTTGGTGAGTATAGTTCAATTCAATTCAATTTATGTGTGTTGCATTTAACAAAATGCAAATAAAGATTCCCTTGGATTATTAATAATAATTTCCATTATTTTTATTTTCTATTCGTCCATTACTAATCATAAATTACTATAATTATTATTATTATTATAATTTATAAAAAAAGCTGCCGATATACATTATCAATCGACAAACAATCTGGATAATAGTAGTAGTAATAATGATTTAGATTTAGTTGAAAATAAAAAATATTCAATCGATGAACAACCATATTCATCTGATTCATCAATTGAATTATTTACTCATCAAACACCATATTATAATCATAATAATAAGAATAATAGTGTATCCGATAATAATAATCGTAAAAAAATTAAAACAACAACAAAAAAAATTCATCATCAAACAAAACGTTTACAAAAATTATTAAATGATTCAACACAAGCATTATTGAATAATCAACATTATTCAAAGCAAAAACAAAAATCAACAGATTTGAATATTGATCAAGAAGAAAGTTTACCATTATTAATGAATCTAGATAAAAATTCATTACAAATGAAAATGAATCGTTCTATTGAATCAAGCGATCAACATGATAATCATCATAATCATCATCTTCATCGTCATAATAATAATAATTCGAATGTTAATGTTTTACATTCAAATCATCAACATCATCATCATCATCATTATCATAGTGATTATTGTGATCCAATTGATAATTATCCAACAAGTCCATTTGGTATAATTAAACATCGAACAAATTCAATACAATCATTACAAACAACAAGTTTTGATTCATCAAAAAAATCAAATTATTCACAAATTGATGATTTAAATAATAATCATAATGATCAATCATTTAATATGAAATTTCCAAAATTAAAATATTTAAAAGTTTGTTTACTTTCATTATTGGTTATCTATACATTGGTATGTTTTTTTTACTCTTATTACACTTCTTTCTTTGTTGTTGCTTATTGAATGATAAAATTGAAAAATAAATTTTTTTGCAATAGATTTCATTCATTTTTATTAAAGAAAAAAAAGAAACATGGACAAATGTTGCTGTACAGGATAAATTACCAGCATATATTGATCTATCACAATCATTGGATTTAATGTTTCCAATTTGGAAACTACGTGCACGTGGTTCATTTTTACCAAAAGAATATAGTCATCTGACAAATTATTCAATAATATTTACAATTGTACAATTATTGGATGATTCGAATAAAAATAATACATCATCATCAATTAAATCTGGACAAACATCATCATCATCATCTTATCGTGTTGTGAAACGACCATGGGCATCACCAATTGCACCGACAGCAAACGATCAACATTATATACCGGCAAAAGAAATTGAACATACATTCAAATTAACACGTGATGATGTTTTTGATCAAGGTTATCGTTATAGATTGCGTATCGATACAAATTCAAAAGAATCAATTGGTATTACAATAACTATGTCTGGTTTTTCTGAATTATCTGCCGATGGTATTATATTGGCTGCATTTGTATTGGTTTTTCTTTATGTATTGATTATATTTGAAATTGTTAATCGAACATTAGCAGCTATGCTTGGTGCAACTGCAGCAATAACATGTTTAACATTAATACGTGATGTAAGTTTTTTACAAACTTTTTCCAATTACTATTTTAAACGGAATTTTTTTTTGTTAAATAGCGACCTTCTTTAGCTAAAGTAGTTTCATGGTTAGATGTTGAAACATTATCATTATTGTTTGGTATGATGATATTGGTTGCAATATTATGTGAAACTGGATTTTTTGATTATGTTGCTGTTGTTGCATTTCGTTTGGCTAAAGGTCGTACATGGCCATTAATATTTACATTATGTATATTTACCGGTGTAATGTCAGCATTTTTAGATAATGTTACAACAATTTTATTAATGACACCGGTTACAATAAGATTATGTGAAATTAAAAATATTGAACCAAAACATGTATTAATTTCATTGGTTATTATATCGAATATTGGTGGTGCAGCAACACCAGTTGGTGATCCACCAAATGTTATTATTATTTCATCAGCTAGCATTCAACAACAGGTTTGTTGTTCTGTTTTCTTTATCTTTTTTTTGATTGTTGTTTGTTATTTGATCAAATTTTGTTATTATTGAATATATATAGGGAATAAATTTTGGTAGTTTTACAATGCATATGATGCCAGGAATAATATTATCATTTATAGCAACATTAATCTATATACGAATATATTATAGAAATTTATCTAATCTTGAATTTCAAGATGTTAATATTGCAAGTGAAGATGATACAGGTAAGATTACACTGTTTTTTATAGGTTTTTGTGCAATTTTTTATTAATTCTCTTTAAACATTAGAGGAAAATTTGAATCAATTTAAAAAGATGCATGAAAAACAACAACCGCAAGCAACAAGAAAAAAAAGTAATCAAATCAATATAATTGATAATCATTTATTTAGTCGTAATGGTGGACGTACTAATGTTACTAATGGTTTATCATTTCAAAATTATACAAATGATAATGATAATGATATTGAAATTAATCCTTCTTCGGTGAATGAAGATGAAACAATATTTGGTCCTGAAAATGTTGTTATTGTTGATCAACAACAACAACATTTACCACCATTAAAACAATGTCCAAGTTGTACAAATCTTGAAGATTTATGTGCAGGAAATTCATTTAAAGATCATTTATATGATGAACGTCGTGTATTTCGTTCTTCAGATGGTAATGATAATTATTATTTGTTTGTTTTGTTTGTTTTCAATATAAAGGGAATGAATCTTTCTTTTTTGATTTTTCACAGAATTAAAACGTGAAATTGAAGTATGGAAACGTGCCTGTAATTCGATTGTTGGTTATTCACGTGATGAAAATTCTGTTCGTTTAATGTTAAATCATAAAGTTGAAACATTGGAAACAATTTTACGACAACATTGTTATGAAACTGTACCACCAGAAGATAATTATCGTTCGGTATTAACTGAATTAGAACAAAAGGTATGAAAATAAAATTATGATAAAAATAATTTAATAATTGAATGAATGAATGATGTAATAACATTTTGAAACTTACAGTATAAAATACGTGATTGGCCATTATTGATAAAATCTGTTATTGTAATGTCAATGGTTATTGGTTTGTTTTTTATGCAATCAATACCTGAATTGGATTTAAGTTTAGGATGGATTGCTATATTAGGTGCAATATTATTATTGGTTGTATCCGATAGACATGAACTTGAATCAATAATGGGAAGGGTTGAATGGTCAACATTAATTTTTTTTGCTGCATTATTTGTTGTTATGGAAGCATTAGCTGAATTAAAATTTCTTTGGTGGATTGGACAATTAACACAGGATTTCATTAATTCAGTACCAGAAAATTCAAGATTAATTGTTGCTATATTAGTGTTTATTTGGATATCAGCTTTATCATCATCATTCATTGATAATATACCATTAACAACTGTTATGGTTAAAATTATTGAAGATTTAGCTGAAAATAATGAATTTCATATACCATTAGTACCATTAATTTATGCACTTGCATTTGGTGCTTGTCTTGGTGGTAATGGTACATTGATTGGTGCATCATCTAATGTTGTTTGTTCGGGTGTTGCTGAACAACATGGTTATGGTTTTACATTTTTTGATTTTTTTAAGTAAGTTTTTTTGCATTTTTGAATCTTTTTCGATTTTTTTTGAAAATTTTGTTTGTTTCATTTTAGAATCGGATTTCCAATCATGTTATTAACAGTGGCCATATCGACAGTCTATCTAATTTTATGTCATGTGGTATTCGAATGGAATTATTAACCATTTGGAACCTTTTTTTTTAAAAAAAAAGAAAAAAATAATGAATATTTTGTCCTTTTCGACCCAAACAAAAAAATTTCATGACAAATTATTATCACTTTAAAAATACCCAATGATGTAGTTTTGACAAAAACATTTAGAGATTTATTATTTTAATCATCATTAATTATTTTTTTTTCTAATCTTGATTTGTAATTTACTTTCAGGTAAAATATTTTTGATTGTTTTTTCTATTTTCACTAAAAAATTAAAAAAATTCATTACAAATTAACTGACATCTATTGTTGAAAATTTGAAACATTGAATTCAACTATTACTACCTTAGTTGATACACACAATCAGATGTATAATTTTGAGCTAAAGTTTTTTGAAAATATTATTTATTATTATGCAAACAGAATCTTTGAAAAAAATTTAGTAATATGAATTATCAACACTGTTGAATTATGTCTTTTTCTTTTCAAGAAATTTCGACGACAACCATTAGTGGTAATAATCCATTTGATGATGAAATTGAATCGGAAAAACAAACGAATGTATCAAAATCTGAAATTGATGATTATGATCCATCATTGGATCCATTTGCTGATAATGATGGTAATCATTCTTCATTATCTTTTTATAATAATATTGAAAATGATTGTTCAAAATCACCAAATATTTCTTCCAATAAAACAAATTCAAGTAATTTGTTACCAAATCTAAATAATTCAACAAACGATTTGACCAATATTGATGGACAAAATTCAATTTTAATGAAATCATCAAATCGACAACGTCTTTCATTTGTTGATGATGGAAATTATAGTAATACTAGTTCTGGAGCTATGGATTTTGATCGTTATTCATTACAATCGGGAAATGATATTGATTCTTCACTTACACAATCAAGATTATCATTACAATCAAATACTTCAAATACAATGATTGAACAACAATTACGACAATACTCATTAGGTGATGGTTCATTACAGAAAGAAGGTTTACTTTGTCCAGAATGTATGCAAGAATATCGTACAATAACCGAATTAATGGAACATTTTGATCGTGAACATGATCGAAATAATCGAGATTCTAATATTGGTATTGGTACGAAAAAAATATCCACAAAAATTGGATCATCATCATGGTCATCAAAAAATTTAACACCATTATCAAAAAAATTATTTTCAAATGATTCATCATTAGTCGGTGATCAGATTAAAGGTTTTTTGGATAAATTTCTTCAATCAAATGTTAACGATAAACTTTCCATAACAAACAATTCAAATCATTCCATAAATTCAATACAAGATGTTCGAAATGAAAATAATTCCACAATAAATTCTAGTTCAATTTGGACACAAGAACCAATCAATCCTATTCAACAATGGAAACATTCAATGAAACCAGCAAAAAAACGTTCACATTATGAATATTTTCGTCAGATACGTGATTCTCGTATTGAACGTTATGTATTTGAAACAAATAAACTAATGATACGATTGGATAAATTATTACGTGATTATCCACCATTAAATGATTGGATTAAACGTAGACGTCATGAACAATCAATAGTTGATTGGGTGGATGAAACTATTGTACCATTATGTCCATCATGTGCAAATAAATTTAATATTATTACAAGAAAACGACATCATTGTCGTCTTTGTGGTGCTGTTATGTGTACAAAATGTTCAGAATTTATATCATTTAAATTTGCATATGAACTTATAAATCCTATTGAAATTGATCATTTAGATCATAATAATGATAATAATGATATATCATTTGGTTTTTCACCATTACCACCAATGCCGGCAATGCAATCAACAATAATAACAAAAAATAATATTCAACAAACAAACAATGATGAAACAACAACAATAATATCATCACCATTACGTACATTAATGACAAATGTTTTAAATAGTCCATTAGTTAATGATAATGAATTGATTGATAAATTAAGACTTTGTCATGATTGTAAATCATTATTAATTATACGTAAAAGAAAATTAGATGTTCAACATCATAAACCAGCTATTGTACAATTATATCAACAATTACGTGAACAAATTCAACAAATAGATCGTCTTGTACCTGTATTATTTCGTATGGCTGATTCAATTAAGTATGTTATTAATATTTAAATTGAAAAAAAACTTTCTAAATGTTTTTCTTTTTCAAAAATAGTATTGGTGAAAGTACATATCAATTGACTGATGCACAAGATCTTAAACATAAACTATCGAAATTAGGAGAACAAGCAGATCTATTAAGGTAAGTGATTATTATAATTGAATTAATTTTTAAAATTGATTTTAATTTTTCAGTCGTAAAATCGAAACATATGGATTAACACCTTCAGAAACGGAACAGATTTCAATTCAAACTATACCATCAAGACAATTATCATTACAAACATCAATACGAAGATCAACTATACAATATTTAAGAGAAAAATTATTAGGATTACCTGAATTACCTGATGAAAAACATTTTGAACAACTTAAACAACAACATAATCAATTGATTGAAAAACGTATTCGTCTTGAAAAAGAAATGGCTCTTGTTGAACAGGAAAAATTTCGTCAACGAAATCAACAAACAGACATGAATACAACAACGACAAACATTCAAATTGGTCTTAATGAAGATGGATTCTGTCCAGAACAGCCAAATAATCCAAATCATTTTAAACAATGGCAAACAAATATTTTTGATGAAAAAGAACGATATGCAATATTATCTGAACAAAATCCAATTATACAACAAATGAATATTATACGTTTATATATAAAACAAGCTAAAAATGATCATCGTTATGAAGAGGTTACAATGTTGGAAGAAAATCTACGTGAATTAGAAATTGAATATTATTTTAGTCAACAACAACAACAACAACAATCTCAATCACAACAATATGAAACATCTGAATCATTGAATCCATTCGGTGATTTTGATGATGACGATAATGATCAATGATAATGAATGTTTGTGACAAAAAAAAATAATAATAATACTTTGAAAACAATGTTTTTAAAACAAACAAACAAACAATTTAATGATGTAAATGTTTGTTTATTTTTTGTTTGAATTTAAATTCTGGATAAAATTAGAAAAAAAAACAAAACAAATTTTCAATTATCAAAAAAAAACAAAATAAAAAAATGCAAATTAATTTGACGAAAAAAAAAACATTTTAATTTTGTTGTTCTCTAACCAAACAACAACAACAACAACAGCAAAGTATTAGGTCGAAAGAGGATTATTATCATCAATGGATGATGAAATTTTAAAATTTAAAATTTAAAAAAGAAAGAAAATTCAACCAAAATCGAATCGAATATCCCGTACATAAACACTAGGACAACATGGGATTCTTGTTATTTACGTTATGAGGGGGGAATACACTACTCTCTCGTTATGTAAACAAATAAACACACATACAGATTGTGTATATATAGCCGCAACGCATTTATATCCCTAAAAAAAACATTTTTGTTTTTGTTTTTTTTTGATATAATAAAATCAAAATAAACAACAACAACAACAACAACATCAAAAGAAAAGAAATGATATAATACTTGATTATGATGGTGATGGTGATGATGAAAAAAAACACGAGTTCTGTGTGTGCGTGTGTATTGCGAATCATCATCATTTTTCGATTTAAAAATTTTCATTTAGTTTTCCAATTCGTGTTACATAGACACATTCGGTTTTTTGTTTTGCTGTTACTTTTAGATTCTACAATTTAAATTGGTGTTCTTCAAACAACGATGATACAAGCGAACGAAACAAAACAACAACAAATCAATCAATTTTCATTCCATAAATTCATCAATAATCTTAATGATTCAATGGAAAAAATCAATCGAATGTGTGAGTCATTTTTCTGTTTTATTAATGATATTTGGGTGATTCAAATGTGGATGATGATCATTGATTCCATTGAATTGATCTGATTTTCAAATACAATAAAAAATCCACATTTGTCGAAATGAATATCGAAATATGGTGGAAATTTATAATTATCATTTTTCCCCCACTCCAAAACAAAACAAAAAAAATCAGTTCTTCCCTGTCTATGGTTTTGATGTTTTAAAAAAAAAAGTTTTTTACTACATCCAAATTCTACAATACAATTCATCATTTGATGATGATGATTATTGATGATGATCGATTGTCATTAATATTAATGTCAATCCATTAAATCATTGGTGTTGTTTGTTATTTCAGTTTATAGTTTAGTTCAGCTTAGCTATATTTACATATATTCCATTTTAGTTCATTAAAATATTAATGAGGATGATGATGTTCAAAGTTCAATATGGATTTTGTTGTTGTTGTTGTTATTCAACTTTTGATAATAAAACCGAGAAAACCAAAAATCAATATTAATGTGATATTTTTTTTGGCGGTTTCCAAATTGATTGGAATCGATTCAAAGAATGATGATTATAATAATAATGATAATGTTGATGATGTTTGTTTTTTTCCCCCCAAATCGATAATCGACCATTGATATTTTAATTAATCTCATTAATTTTTATTATTGCATCCATATCTCTCTTGATGATTATGGATGATGAATCATGATGAAATTATCATGAATTTCGTTTCGTTTTTTTCAAAACTAAACTAAACTAAACTAAACTAAACGAATCGTTAAAATAGCAAAAAAAGAACCCGAGAGAAAAAACCAATAATGATGTTTAAAATGTCAAAAAAAAACTATTATTATATAGGAAATATTGACAAATAAAAAGGATGCAACAATCAAATTGTGTGTTATGTGTGTGTTTTATGTGTTTTATGTGTTTGAGTGTCAAAACTCGAAATATATAAATTTTTTCAATATGTCAAAGGTGCTGATGACATTATCACCATCATCATCATCATCATTAATGATATTTTAAAAAAAGTATTTCCATTTGTCATTTAAATGTTTTATTGGTTTTATGTTTATGGGTTGCCTTTAATTTCCGATTAGACCAAACCAAAAACACTAAAAAATAAGAAATCAACGACCACCATCATAGCCAAAAAAAAAAGACTTTTTTTTCGTTCAAAAATTTTTAGACTCGAATTTCGAAGGTCAAACCTTGAATTTTTTTTTCCTCTCTGTTGCATAACCCCATGTTACATGGAAAACATCGGGCCAAAGCTTTGCCCATTGGATGTTTCTGTGTGTGTGATGTTTGCCGTTTATCATCCGTTGTCATTCAGGCTAAAGGTACAAATGGTAAAATAATTAAGCAAAAAAACATGGAGATGGCCAATAATTTATCTAAATTAGGCGAAACCAAACGATACTTTTTTTCACTTTTCACTCTCTCTCCATCTCTCTCTCTTGCTGTATGTCATTTTTACCTAATGATTTTGTCTTTTTTAACCCCTTTAAATAATAATAATTTTTTTCTGTTTTTTTTTTCTTTCATTTAACACGTCGAATTCACATCATCAACAACTGGCCAATATCATAATTGAAGAGACAGAGAGAAAAATGATTCAAAAATTCAACGGGTTTCTTTCTTTCTTTCTGCATTCATAATAACTAACAACTGTTGCAATAATAAATTCTAGCCATACAACAACAAAACCGCCAAAATTAAATAATAACCCGATGTTGTCAACAAACCAAAACAAAAATGAAAATTTGTGATTAATCTCAATGATTAATAAGTCAATGAATCATCCAATACACACACACACACACACATTAATCTATTTTCATCATAATAAACATCATCATCAACCAAACAAACAAAATGAAAAAAACATGTTAAATAATAACGATAATAATAAAATTAATGAAATTATTAAAATTATCCATATTTCCTGGAATTCAATGAAAATTCTTTAATGGAGCTTATTCATTTCATTTCATTTCAATAATCATCAAAACTAATAAATAAATAAATCGTGTACACCCCCGCATTAACACACACACACACACACATAATGTTGTAATATATAACAAACTACACATACATTCAGACACAGATACAGACAACAACAACATTGACATTTTTTTGTTCATTATATAAACACCATACACACACACATCATACACGATAAGCATCAAATTCGGGAACAAACAAACAAATGAATCATATTAGATTTATTTAGTGAAACAAATGAAATTCAAGAATATAGTTGTCAACAACAACAACAGCAAAAGCATGAAGATTTTGAACATGTGTGTGTGTAGTGTGCAGTGTTTGTAATTGAAAGTTTTCCATTTCCGTTTGTTGATTTGTGTAGTTATCAACACACCTTCATTATCATCATCATCATCAACAACATTATCAACATTTTAAATGACTAATAATAATTTAAAGTTACCTGGTTACCTGGATGATGATAGGATTTGATTAATTCAATGAAAAAAATATCCAGACTTATATATGATGTTTTTTGTTTTGTTGATGCTGCAAACTGTTCAATCATCATCATCATCATCATCATTTCAATCTTGAATTTTGTTCCAACGACAACTGTTTGAAATTTTACGTTTTTTTTTTTTTTTTAAATTTCAAAAAAACTTTTTTTGATAATCATTACTGTAGTAATGATGATTTTTTGATTTTTTTTTTTT